ATTAACAGCATTGAAATAGATCGGAAAAAAGTCTTCCATGCCTTTTACCCTGTGTTTTAATTAGCTTACAAAGAAAACTGCTCAAATAGGTAAGACGGCATTCTATAGTCTACCTGATCGATATGTGTGCATGTCAAGTTGACCTCCACGCGGTTCCCCCTGGAAACTATCGTGATAAATTCCTGGTGAATTTGTCACGATGGGCTAACTGACCTGACCTCATGTTCATCTTATCCTCCACTGATGCCCCACCAGTGTAAACCGTTAGCGCAGGCGTGTGCACCATTCCAATATCAACCGGAAAAAAACGATATGTGAGTTTTGGACTATTGGATTTCTAGTTACACATTATTTATTTATTTAATTCAAGATACTAGGCCCATATTATAAATACCTTATAGACTAACATACATAGGAAATAATAATAAAATATGTAAATAAAATTGTCTCTATGATCACGGCACTGACGACGACAATCTATACATACATAAATTTATGCCGATATGTGTTATAAAATCAAAATATATTTATTCATGTAGGTCTATCATAGATTACATTTATTTGTAGCTCTAAATATCAATGTTTGCATTGGTCTGAGTGTTTTCTATCTATTGTTACTAGTTGTTAATTTATAGCCTACTGTACCCTACTTGATCCCTTTGGAATTTCTAAAATAAATGATTTTTTCTAAAATAAAAGTTGCCTACTTTACGCCTTGACACATCAGCTACATGCCAAAAAAAGTCCCGTCAAAACCGTCCAGCCACTTCAGAGATTAGCCGTAACAAACCAACAGACAAAAATTGTAAAAACTGTTATTTCAATGTATGTACCGTATTTATATTCATATGCATGTAGTAAAAAACAGTTATTTAAATATTACAAACAGACACTCCAATTTTATTTATATGTATAGATGTGTTTTCTGATGTATAAGCGATATTACTGTAAAGTTTCATAAAAATCCGTTCAGTAGTTTTTGCGTGAAGCAGTAACAAACATTCATTCATACATTTTTACATCCATACTCACAAACTTTCACGTTTATAATATTAATAAGATATTACTGGCTGATTATGTATCTTTATATACGTGAAAGAATTTTTAAAATCGATCGATTTGAGGTTTTATTCGTATTTAAAAGTCCGGAAATGCTGCCAGCACTGTGAGGTCCTTTGGGCCGGATACGAGATCGAATTATTGATAATTATCTTGTCCCTTAACTTAGAAATAAAACATTTACTCTAACTATTATATAATAAATAAATAACCCTGAACAATTAACACAGCGCCATCTAGTCCGACGGTATGCAGAGCTTGTGTTGTGGGAACTAGACAACTGATATAACACTTTTTTTTTACTACATATTAAACTCCCAGACCGATACAAACAACCATACTCATAAATACAAATGTTTGCACCGTACGAGGAATCGAACCCGCGACCATCGAAAGTAAAGCAGTACGCTAAACCGCCAGACCACCGAGATCTTCAACTTCCTTCTTTTTTTAATGCAAATATCAAAATAAACTTTTTAAAAATATTATTCTGAATACCTTACAGCTGATCTGTATCACATATATATGTCTGTATCTTTAACTGACATAACCTCACACGGTCGAAGCAATTACGCGCATTTCTTTTACATTCCAGTGATTCATTTATGTACTACTGTAGGTAGTTGCGAAGCATATAGATACATAAACGAATGTATATGCATATATATTTCTTTAAAAGTCGATAATGGCATGCTTCTCAACCTTCGCTAACGGTTTACGCTGGCGGGGTACCAGTGGATGATAGGATGAGCATGAGGTCAGGTCAGTTAGCCCATAGTGCTAAAGTCACCAGGAATTAATCACGATGGTCTCCCCAGTGCAGGTTAATAAGATGAGCTCGAGGTCAGGTCAGGGCTCTGACAAATCGTGACAAATTCACCAGCAATTTATGACGATGGTTTCCAGGGGGAACCTCGTGGAGGTCAACCTGACATGGTACATTGGTAGCAATAAGTCCATATTACTAACAATCTCCTTTACCCCCCAATATATATATTTTATGTATGTATTAAATGTATCTAAGTATTCTACAAGTTGTCTAGTACCTATAAGACAAACTCTGGTTTCGGACTAGATGGCGCTGAACTGTTCAGTGATATTATCATTTAAATAAATATATATACTAATATAGTAATCTCAGAACAATTCACACAGCGCCACCTAGACCCAAGTTAAGCTAACTAAAGCTTGTGTTATGGGTACTAGATAACTGATACATATACATACATTTTTTTTTGTAAATACATACATATTATACATAGAAAACACCCAGACCGATACAAACAATCACACTCATGAATACAATTATTTGTGCCGTGCGAGGAATCGAACCCGCGACCATCGGTCGTAAAGCGGTGTAAATATATATAGTACATACTTATAATAAATATATAACTGTTCTATTACATGAAAGATATATATAAAAAACTACTAGCGGGAGATTTTATAAACGAATTATAACTTAAAACAATTATTCTTAATTTTTGTCTATTTGTCTGTCTCTCTGAGAAAGAAAAATCTCAAAAGAAGCAACTTGTTTTAAATTTGCCATTAATGCTCCGCTCCTATCGGCAATAGCGTGATGTTATAACATTATGCAATGACAGATAGCCTTCCTAATAAAAATAACTGTCCACCTATGAAATATTTTTTTAGTTCGAACAAGTAGTTCCTGAGTTTGACACGTTCAAACATACAAACTTTATAGTATACATATATATTCTTAATTTAAGTTTTAAATTGAATGTATTTACAACATTTATTTATTTTTTTATTTACTTAAACATTCATCAGTGTACAGTTTGATGCAGTCCTGACTCCCAAACTGGCGTTAGCTATATATCAGGAGTCAGTTCCTTCCCAAAACAAGGATAACAGTTTTCATTAATTTACATTAATATTAGATTTAAATACAAACTTTCTGTTTCTGTTACAAGGGAAACGGGAATATTAGAAATGTGGATTGAACTTATCGCTAGCAATGTACCATGTCAGGTTGACCTCCACGCGATTCCCCCCGGAAACCGCCGTGATAAATTCTTGGTGAATTTATCACGATGGGCTAACTGACCTGACGACCAGCTCATCTTATCCTCCACTGGTGCGCCACCAGCGTAATCCATTAGCACAGGCGAGTGCACCATTCCATTATCATACATAAAAAAAAGTAAGTTTATCAATCACTCTAATTAAAAGAAACTACAATTAATATATACGGAACCCTATCAAATAGATACATCTCACTTGTAACAGACCGTAAAACGGAGTTAGCAACAAGCGGAAGTTTTTTTCGTTACCAGCAACCTTTTTTTTTAATCACCACTCAAGTTCTGAGAAAGGGATGGTTTTTATCGTACAACTCACATTGCTGTGCAATGAATCACACGACGAACGTGGTCGAGTATGAACGGAGTGCGACTTGCTACCGTTAGTACTATTTTAAACTTATAGCTGGTTTTTTATGTAATCAGGTAAAGTAGATGTAATTTCACCGGTTTTCGATATATAAAGCAGCTCATAAATAGCGTTGTCAGACGTCCCGTATTTCCCGGGACGTCCCTTATTTCAGGCTTAGTTTAAAATGTCCCGGCGGGACTGACTCGGTACCGTATTCGAATCGTGCTCCGTTTTTTATTATTAAATCGATCGATCTGCGCTAGACAATTTGTCCCGGGTAAAAAACTAAATTCCCGTATTTTTTTGCCTATTTAAGCGTTTGCCGCTTATAGGCTGAAAAAAGATCTGGCAACTCTACTTATAAAACACGCAAATAGAGAAGTTATATTCCATAACCGTTCTATTTGCTATTTTTCAAATTTAGAATTCCCCCTCCAATCGATTCCCGTCCAATCCAAACGGGGATCGAAATTAGGACGGCCTGAGCCGAGGCTCGACCCACTAGCGGTGCCCTCAGACTAAAGTCGTATCCGTCAGGCGTTGGCCTTCAGCCGCTCCATAAGGCCTTCCGCGGGATTGGATTGCCATCTGCACTCGCCGCCTATCGTTCGGTGAAGCTGTAAAAGCCATCTGCGGCCAACAGCATTAGAGTAGTCCGAAAAAAAAACACTACTAAACTATGCTATGTCAACGCGAGCGAATCCGCTTGCGGAAAGCTAGTATGCTATATGTACGTATTTAACACACTCAGCTCTATTACGCCCTCGCCAGCGGCTTGGGCTGAAATTCCGCCTCGTGTCTTATAATAAGTTAAAAGTTCATAACCATCATAACGCATTTATATCATTATATACTATTATTATATATTTAATACATTTCTAATATAATTTAGATATAACGTAAGCACAAGAATATCTCTAGAAAAGATCTCTGTCATACAACGACAATACAAATATTTGCACTGTGAGAAGAATCGAACCTGCAACCATCGGAAGCAACGCGCTGTGTTATACCACTAGATCAGCGAGGCTGTCGTAACCATTACAGTATGTCACACTTTCAAATTAAGAAGGTAGCTCGATAGAAATATACCAAATGTTCTATCGTTAACTAATGGTCACCCAGTGGTCAAAATTCAACCATAAATCGTTTGAACGACGAGCGTATATGGCAATAGTTGTTCATGCACGGGATTTTCATTTAATGTTAGACATAGACACCTATATAATATACATGGTAATATAAGGGGCTTTTAAAATAAGTAAATCAATTGAGTTTCTTGCTAATTCTTCTCAGTTGGATATTGAACTGGACGGTAGGGAAAAAATATATTATAATAACCTAAAAAAAACAACTTCTTAAGACTTGTTTAGATTTACTATAAAAAATACTATATGCTAAAGATATCAATTTTTGTAGGTGCTTTATTTTGGCGACACAACAGGCTTCGTCCCTAGTTCAGTTCCCGGCTGATACAATAACAAATTATTTACGAAAATGATTTAATAACTGTGTCTTAATAAATTTATTATTATTTGTTGCAGATAATTCCGTGAACAGAATCTCTACAGTATTAATATCTTCTAGAATGTACCATATAACACTAGTTATCGCCGCGGCGCTACTCGGGGGCGGCTGTAGATCTGCAAATGTCAATAAACACATGAAAATGTTACCTCAAATTGATAACAATATTGAATCAAATGGTAAGTGACTTTTAAGTTACATCTTCATATACTATAAAACTAAGTTTTGACTGCCCCTGTGGTTTAGCGGGTTAGCACACCGCTTTACGTCCAATGGTCGCGGGTTCGATTCCTCGCACGGTACATTTGTATGAGTATGATTGTTTGTATCGGTCTGGGTGTTTTCTATGTATATTATGTATGTATTTACCAAAAGATGTATATCAGTTGTCTAGTATACATAACACAAACTCTGCAAACGTCGGACTAGATGGCGCTGTGTTAATTGTTCAGGGTTATTTATTATTATTATAAAAGAAATCGCCGCCGATCTGTCGATCTGTCTGTCTGTTCGCTTATATCTTTTAAATTACGCAACGGATTATAATGCAGCAGATAGAGTGATTCAAAGACGACGAACCGCGAAGACGGGTGTGTAGATAGTATATAATGAACTAACGACATACCTCGGCTTTGCTCGGGTGTACAGTTTATTTGACCGAGATGGAATAATAACATTCATATGTAATCCAGTGTTAGATATCGATTTACTTCCGATGGTTGCGGGTTCGATTCCTAGCACGGTGCATACATTTGTATTTATAGGCATGATTGTTTGTATCTACTATAATACTATAATATCTGTGTATATTTTCTATATATAATATGTAGGTATTTACAAAAAAAAAATAAGTATTTATATTAATTGTCAGGTACATTTTTTTTATTTTTATACACATACTCTACATAAAAAACACCCAGACCGATACAAACATGAATACAAATGTTTGCACTGTGCGAGGAATTGAACACGCGACCATCAGTAAAGCGGTGTACTTAACCGCTAGGCCACCGAGGCCGTCAGTTAAGGAATGAATTTGTATCAGTCATCTAGTACAGTATATACCTTCGTAAATACACACATAATATACATAGAAAATACCCAGACCGCTACAATAATCATACACAAATGTTTGCACCGTGCGAAGAATCGTACCCACGACCATCAGAAGTGAAGCGAGCTACCGCCAGACCACTAAGGCATCGCCGCGATATACATATTGTATAATGTTGCAGATTTAATCTCCACCATGAATACAGGTCATATGTGCATGGAATTGTAAAGAGTTTCCCGTATACATACATTAACCGAGCGCTGTTGTATTGTCGATTTCAAAATTTCAATATGAACTACCCGACATTTTCCTTTGTTAGCAATTCAGAATGATAATAAATTTGTGATTCATACATATTGAGATGGCTTGCGTACAGTTTCTAGCCATTTCTTCTCAACTCAAGCAGCTTGTCAAACTGTAGGGCTGCCCGAAAGTGTCGTCTACGGTTATTTGTTTATGACACTAGTTGTTCATGCACGTGATTTTTATTTAAACTGTAGGGCTGCCCGAAAGTGTCGTCTACGGTTATTTGTTTATGACACTAGTTGTTCATGCACGTGATTTTTATTTAAATTGTAGGGCTGCCCGAAAGTGCCAAAGTGTCGTCTACGGTTATTTGTTTATGGCACTAGTTGTTCATGCACGGGATTTTTATTTAAACTGTAGGGCTGCCCGAAAGTGTTGCCTACGGTTATTTTTTTATGACACTAGTTGTTCATGCACGTGATTTTTATTTAAACTGTAGGGCTGCCCGAAAGTGTCGTCTACGGTTATTTGTTTATGACACTAGTTGTTCATGCACGTGATTTTTATTTAAACTGTAGGGCTGCCCGAAAGTGTCGTCTACGGTTATTTGTTTATGACACTAGTTGTTCATGCACGTGATTTTTATTTAAACTGTAGGGCTGCCCGAAAGTGTCGTCTACGGTTATTTGTTTATGACACTAGTTGTTCATGCACGTGATTTTTATTTAAACTGTAGGGCTGCCCGAAAGTGTCGTCTACGGTTATTTGTTTATGACACTAGTTGTTCATGCACGTGATTTTTATTTAAACTGTAGGGCTGCCCGAAAGTGTCGTCTACGGTTATTTGTTTATGGCACTAGTTGTTCATGCACGGGATTTTTATTTAAACTGTAGGGCTGCCCGAAAGTGTCGTCTACGGTTATTTTTTTATGGCACTAGTTGTTCATGCACGGGATTTGTTTTTGTTATTTTATAAAAAATATCTGTTTTTTTTAATAAAAAGTATCCTATGTTTATTTTAATATCTCCAAGAACATGTGTACAAAATTTCATGATGATCGGTTCAGTAGTTTTTACGTGAAAGCGTAACAAACATTCCTACTTTCACATTTATAATATCAGTAAGGATCAAGATAAATTATTCATTCTTTCAGTGGTATCAACAAAACAGTCACCAGTAACGAAGCTGCTGGCCATAACGCGAAGACCGAATGTCCTCAACCCTCACCCGCCTGGTACCACCGTCGAACTGACCTGTGAAGCATACGGCACGCCAGCTCCATCTATACATTGGTACAAGAACGACGTACCAGTTTATGAGGTGAGATTAAACAACATAAAATAAATACTAGTATAAACATTTGTTCAAAAGAGCAACACACAAGTTTCTTGCTTGTTCTTCTTGTGATGAATCTGCGTTCCGAATGAGTGGTAGAATCAAAAATATGACTATTCAAAAGTGTTTGTATTGAGTTTATTTGAATAAAGCTTATTTCTATTTCTAATAGGAAAGACTTTAAACAAATCACATTCAAATAAACTTATTTTTTTTAATCTATGCTCGTTCGGAAAGCTGTCTCATCGCAAGAAGAACAAGCAAGAAAAGCAACTTTTTAAGTGAAATGTGTGACTACCAGTGAAAACATTTATAAATTTTTGTTTGTCTTTCATGAACAATAATAATGAAAAAAAGTATTTTATTTCTTTTGTTCTGTTATGTTTTTTCATATATATAAAGTCATGTTATAAACCTGATTATATTAATTACTTGAATTTTACTATATATTTATATAACTATTGCAACACTATTATTGCGTTCGGTTTTTAAACTGGATAGCTCTGGTTTTTTTTTAAATTTGGGCTTGGCAACCCTAGATAGATAGATAGAGTCTTTATTCACCAATTACAAACATATAGTATGCATATAGATAAAATAAACATAGAAAAAAAATATAGGTGAATAGGCAACCAACTCAGCATAAAGCTACAGACAAATCTGCAGCGTTGATATTAGAATAGAATAGAAAATTATTTATTCAAATAAACTTAATTTAAGCAATTTGTATAGTCATAACATTTTTTTTTATCTACCGCTCGTTCATCCCAAGAAGAACTAGCAAGAAACTTGTGTGTTGCTCTTTTAAATAATCCTTGTAAGTTTACAATTACAAGTCGAAACGTGTGAATACAAACTATTTTTTTGGTCAAATATAAGTATACAATAAGATTAAATCAGTAATAGTGATAAAAGCAGACCAGTCTCTACAAGCAGCACTCGTTCACGAGTATGACGGATGAGCCAGCCTGACTGAATGATTCTGTTAAAGTTAAAATTAAAAGATTAATACATCGTTCACAGCACGATATGGAGTCCAATGAATTAATAGACACGAACCCGGCATCCCTCGCTCGGGTTGTTTCAACGCTGCTGGTGACAAGAACGGACGAGCAGGATGAATATACGTGTCTCGTGAAGTCGGGAACGAAGGTCGCCAGAGCTTCCAGCACTGTCTACAGAGCACGTAAGTTTTTTTTATGTAATACCCATTACTAGCATTGGACGGCCTCGGTGGTCTAGCGGTTTAGCACACCGCTTGACTTCCGATGATCGCGGGTTCGATTCCTGACACGGTGTAAACATTTGTGCAACAGTATTGAATCAAATGGTAAGTGACTTTTAAATTATATTTCATCATTAGGTACATAGTATAAAACAAAGTCGCTGTCTCTGTCTGTCCGTCCCTATGTATGCTTAAATCTTTAAAACTACGCAACGGATTTTGAGGCGTTTTTTTTAAATAGATAGAATGATTCAAGAGGAAGGTTTATATGTATAATACATGTACACCCGTGCGAAGCCGGGGTACGTAGCTAGTATAGTATAAAACTGAGATTTGACGGCCTCTGTCTGTCTGTCGGTCTAGCGGTTTAGCACACCGCTTTACGTTCAATGGTCGCGGGTTCGATTCTTCGCACGGCACAAATATTTGTATTCATGAGTATTATTGTTTGTATTGGTCTGGACGTTTTGTATGTGTATTATGTACGAGCTGACCTGATCAACTTCATCTGCATCACACTTATATGACATTTATTATTATATTTACACAATATTTTTTCAAATTATAGCCTATGTGTTATTCTTATGTATAAGCTACATTATTGTAAAGTTTCATTACAATCCGTTCAGTAGATTTTGCGTGAAAGAGTAACAAACATATAATTATGTATATAAATAGATATTTGTTACTCTTTCATATATAATGTATATCGTCTTTGAAATATAATGTATATAATCACATTATGATTTATATTGCACTAGCTACATGCCCCAGCTTCGCACAGGTGTGTTGTTTTATACATATAAACCTTTTTCTTTCACTGCATAAAAACTGCATAAAAATCCATTGCGTAGTTTAAAAGATCTAAGCGAACAGACAGCGGAATCGACTTCATTTTATACTATGTAAAGATCACCGTATAACAAATGGAAACAATCGCCTGTCAAAAATATTGCAGCAAATGTTCATATTTGCAAAACATATTGTATTGTGTATGTGCCTACTAACATAGCTTACCTTATTAATTATGAAATAATTTATATTGTTATCAATAGTAAATAACTGTTACATTAGACATAGCAAAGTTATATCGATCGATATATCGATCTAAGATATATTATTTCAAACATGACATTAGCATGTGTGTTGAAAACGATTTATTTCACCTATTTTTATCCTCTCAGCGACAGATGGCAACACAGAGGTGACGGAGCGTTCGAAACTGATCCCTTTGGAGCCTCGAATACTGGTGTCTTATAAGGCGTACATCGACACCATTGGGAGTAACGTGATGCTGCCCTGCAGGGTGCGAGGACACCCGCGGCCACACATCACGTGGACGTGGAAGAATAACAACGGCACAAGTGGCACAGTCACCAAGAACACACCTAGAATGAAGGTGAGGAACTTTGGTTGCAGTGTCATTTAAACATTTTTAGTAGTGAATGCATAGAAAGATATATAAATGACATGAAACTAGCTACTCACCCTGTTTTCGCCCTTGCGAATCCGGGCGCGAGAGAAATCTGGTTGAGCAGGTCGTTATAAATGGTATATTTCATTTTATTTAGAAGCATATAAAGAAAATGAGAAAAAGTAAGAACTACCATTTTTATACATTTAAGAAATATTCGTTTTACAATAAGACAAATTAAAGGTATCAAGATATTTTTTTTAATAGAGTTTTTTAACTCGATTATTATATTTTCTAGACGATTATTTGCACTAATCATAATCTATTGCTTTTAGCAATAAGGCCGCCTTATTGTAACGATACATGTGTCCTTTGTTATATTGTTTGTGCTTCTTCTTTACTGTATGTTGCAAATAAAGTATATTCTATCTATCTAAGAAAGTGTCCAACTTTTTAAACATACTATTTATAATTTACATTATTTATCTAAATACTTGAAGCCGAAATTCGTATGTACCCCATTTTACGTAACTTACCTGCACACAGGAGAATAAAATTTAATGTTTAGCGTTTTAGAATAAGTGCAGAATATTAATATTTTTTTTCTATAATTATGCTTAAAAAATAATAAAACAAAATAAATAAATTTACACCAACATTTGACAATAGAATCTTATTGACTTCTAAATTTAAATATTTAATAATTATGGTCGAATATTGACCACTACTTACTACTACTGTTAAAGACACAAGAGACTTCGATGATTCTTTTTATAATTAGAATTACTCAAATACTTAATATTGAGATGTATGAAATCTGTTCTTCAACAAAGATTTTCTATTCTTCTATTCTATTCTATTCTAATTAACAATTGGTTCTTAGTGAATTGTAAATTTAAATCTTATATATAAAAATGAATCGCTAAATGTGTTGGTAAGCGCTAATCTCGAGAACTACCGAACCGATTTCGATAATTCTTTTTTTAGAATATTCCTTGAGGTACGAAGATGGTTCTTACGGAGAGAAAATTTTAAAAAATTAACTAAAAATGCCTAAAAACAACAGTTTTCTGTAAACCCATACAAACAATTCTTAATTATATTTAAAAGTCAATTTGAACTTTAATACCATACCATAAAGTTCAAATGTTAGTGGAGAGGTTCCGGGAACTTATATAAAAATTCTCGTGTCATAATGTTAGTTACCATACTCCTCCCAAACGGCTTAACAGATTTTTATGAAATTTTATATGTATATTCAGTAGGTCTGAGAATCGGCTACTATCTATTTTTTATACCCCTAAGTGATAAGGGTTGTCCACCCCTAACATTATTTTTTTATTTTTTGACCAAAATTTATTATTAATAGGTTTTTATTATGTGTCATTAAAAAATACTTACAACCCTACATTTTCCCCCTTCTAGCACCAACCCCTATTTTTTTATATGGCAAAACAACGTTTGCCGGTAGTAGGGGCAGTTAGTAATTAATAATTACGATCGAATTTTAACCACTAGTTTCATTACTTCGTTACTAAACTGCCGTATTCAGTCTTGTTTTTTTTATTGAGTGGTAGTTATAATATTGGCAGGTGCTCCGTTCTGGTGAGCTGATAATCTCGCCGCTGAGGTGGAGCGACATGGGCGAGTTCACGTGCCGAGCGACCAACGTGTTCGGCAGCCAGTACGCGAACACGTTTGTCTACCCCGCTAAAGTAAGTTTTAACATCTGATGATGGTGAAGATGATGATAATGATGCTAGTGATGATGATGGTGATGGTTATGATACAATGACGACTGTATGACACAAAATTGATGTAGAAGTTTGCAATATTATATACGTTTTAAGTATCATCATAATTATCATTGTGGTTATAATGAGTCACTTTATAACTGACAGTAAATATTCAAAATGATTATAAATTTGTCTTTGATGATTATGATCATCTTATGGTGATGACGAAAATTGAGATACTCCCAAATTGCCAAATTTTTGTTCGGATTAGAATGTTTGGGACGTATAAGCTACTATCGCCCTGAAATGCATATTTATGCATGCATAGTATGCATAATGCTGAAAATGTCCGATTATTTGACAGCCTCGGTGGTCTAGTGGTTTAGCACGCCGCTTTACTATCCGATGGTCGTGGGTTCGATTCCTCGCACGGTACAAACATTTGTATTCATGAGTATAATTGTTTGTATCGGTCTGGGTGTTTTCTATGTATAATATATATTTATTTACAAAAAAATATCTTTTTATAAATATCTTATCTTTATATCAGTAGTACCCATAACACAAGCTCTGCTTAGCTTGGGACTAGATGGCGCTGTGTGAATTGTCCGGAGATATTATTATTATTATTTTCCCACCCAGAAAAACATACACTTGTGGATGACTACATACCAATCATATAGTCATCCACAAGTATTGGTAACGTGCAAGGAATCGAACCCTCGACCATCGGAATTAAGGCGTATTGCTTAACTGCTGGACCACTGAGGCCATCTTTGTGATGATAATAAGCGTGATGATGGAGGTGATAGATCATAAAAATACATAAAAACAATTATAGCTGTCTGCATATTATTTTTTGTAATTTATTTAGTAGTTTTTAAATTTTTTTTTTGGCACTAGTTATTGCCCTTTGTCTGAGGTTGACTGGAAGATATCTCTTCTAGTGATAACTCCACCTATGCTCACATTGTCTCTATTTATATATTAAACTAGCAGACCCGACCACGTGTGCATCTTTCATTTTTTACATCTCAATTTATAGTCGCAATATTATATTGTTCAAGATCCTTAGCCACAGTTCTTGAACAAAATAATATTGCGACTATAAATTGAGATGTAACTATACTATCTTTCAAGTTAGATCAAATTGCACACAACGTGCAAACCAAATTTGCAATCGGTTCAGTAGTTTCGAACTCCATCGCAGACAAATTACGTGACACATAATTTTTTTATATAAATATTTACTTTTAATTTAATGTGTTTTTGTTCTCAGGCGGGGTAACCCATATCGTTAGCAATCACACATACAAGCGTGAAGCATACTTAAACTGGATGTTCCTGTTAATAGTTAAGTTAAACGTTAAGAGGCTTACACACCGAACCACGGGCACGCTGCCCTCCTGCTGACAAAACGCACGACAAACGCGATTTGAAAAAAAAATACCATTTTGATAAATATTTTCAAGTTGATTACATGAAAGTTTTCATACATTCGAACTCAACTTTTCATGAACCGTGTATTCTTGTATGTATGACTGATTACATATACGTACATACACACATTTTGTAGAAAGCAATACTACATATTAATATACATAATACAATGAATGAAAGAATGTTAGCACTAATCAGATTATTTTTTAAATTCTATAATTAATATAGATATATAATATATATTTGTCAGTCTCGGTGGTGTAACGGTTTAGCACACCGCCTCACTTCCGATCTCAGGTTCGATTCCTCGTGGTACAAACATTTGTATTCATGAGTATGATTGTTTGTATCGGTTTGGGTCTTTTCTGTGTATAATTTGTATTTACAAAAAAAATATCTATGTATCAATTGTCTTGTACCCATAACACAAAGTCTGCTTAGCTTGGGACTAGATGGCACTATGAGAATTGTAAAATATTTATAGATAAAGATGACTCAAATAGAAAATCAGATAAAATGATCAATTTAGTATCTACAAAGAACAAGTTTTGACAATTTTAAACAATTGAATTTATATTACTACTAGCTTTTGCTAACGGCTTCGCTCGCGTTAATTTATCCCCCTAGGGGTGGAATTTATCAACATCCTTTCTTAGCGGATGCCTCCGTCCTAACATCTACCTGTATGCCAAATTTCAGCCCGATCCGTCCAGTGGGTTGGGCTGTGCGTTGATAGATCACTATGTCAATCAGTCACCTTTGAATTATATATATTTAGATTTCGAAATTATCGTTGTAAACAAAAAAGCTGTCTGTGTATCTTCTCAAATGATCACGAAAACTAAGAACAGAGCAATAAGCAACAAAACTAACTGCCAAAGTTCTTTTCAAAGAGATATTGACCTTGCCTATTTCATACCAGTCTTAAATACCTAATCTACAGTATTGGTTACTAAAATGACTTTGCTTTCATTGTTGAATGGATATATTGGTATGTGTATACTATGTTTATGTATTCTCGTATTCAAATATATAAAGGCAAGGCAATGATTATAATTACAACAATTATTTAAAAGAGCAACAGCGTGTGATGTTACAGCTTTTCGAATAAGCGGTAGATTAAAAATTCTTTTTTATTAAAAAAGAAAGAAATGTGACAATTCAAAAATGCTTAAGTTTATTTGAATAAATAATGTTGTATGTCACAATCTTTATTAGACACTGAAAAGTTCTCTATACAAAAATATATAATAAAATTTTTAATAGAAAATACAATCTAAATATGAAATATGAAACTATATGGCCAGCACGTCAGAAACAAATATTTTTTATTAAAATAATATTATTAATTTTTATATAAGGTACATAAATCAAGTACTAATGTAATGTATCAGGCAATACATTAGTACTTGATTTATGTACTTTATATATATGTATATCTAAAAATATATGTTGGACACGTAACAATTGTAATTTATGTTACAATAGTTTTATATCGTTATTGTTATGGTTAGAACAAAAATCTGAAATATTACATGCAAACAATTTGTGGATTAATTTTCTTGTTAAAAATATCTGCATATTTCATTAAATTTTTTTTAATTAAATTTAAAAATAATTGTAATGTATCCATTTACTTTTATTACAGTAAAATAACTAAATTATTAATATTATAAACACGAAGGTTTAACGTGTATCGATGGATATTTGTTACACTTTCACGCAAAAACTGCTAAATGGATATTCATGAAACTTTATAGTAATATAGCTTATATATCAGAATAACACATAGGCTATAATTTTAAAAGATATTATGTAAATTGCGTGTAATATAATGATAAAAGTCATTACATATTCACTGTTATTTTTACTTTTCCTTAGCACTGTTATTAAACAAAACTATTAATATGTGTATTAATAAAAGGTAATAAACTTTCATGTAACAGGTATAAATATTAGTAAATAATTTACCTACTGATCTAGCACAATAATTACTATTATATATCCAATAATTTTATATAACTTTTATTATTTATAAAAGTTATTTCAGAATTGTATAATTTGAGGTTAGGTTTGCAGCGACCCCTTAAGTCAGTGTGTAAATCCTTAACAGAACGGAGTCTGCCTATTTTTATGATTTTTTTTTTATTGTTATAAAAAAAATATTAAATTATAATATACTACTAAGTAACAATGCCGAATATAATAATGTATAGTATTATTTAATATTGTGATCAAGTGAAAGTTATAATTCTTAAAACTGTACTATATTGTAAACTGTGATTCAAAAGATATGGAATAAATACTAAATGATTCATATATAATTGTTTTTATTATACATTTGAAGGCCTTGGTTTAACACCTTACTTTCCAATGAATCCTACTTGAATGACGAGCGTGGGCAATAGTTGTTCATGCACGGGATTAATTTCATTTAATGTTAGACATAGACACCTACTCGTATTTATATATACATTGTAAATAAACTGGCTTTTAAAAAATGAAATAAAATATTCAATTGATTTTCTTGCCAGTTCTTCTCAATTGGATCCATATACTGAACTGGACGGTAGGAAAAAATTAAAATTATAATGTAAAAAATTTGACGTTCATAAGCAGCTTATATGTCCTACATGAATAAATAATTTTTGAATTTGAATTTGAATTTGAACAATGTAAATTATCATGATGATATTTGAGTAAATAATACCTATATTTATATACAGGAACTAATAGAAAAATAGGAAGAAAATATATTCATTCAGTGCTTTTCTACAGTGTTACAATATAACAAAAAATATGTAATAAAATAAAATATATATATAATTAAACTATTCTATTCTATTCTATTCTATACACGAGTCGATTGTCTTATAAATTATAAAATCCGTATTAAATATTACTCCAGTATGACAAGTAATAAAATAAATTTCGCGATTGTGCACAAAGTGTTGCAAACTACCTAAATGGAATGTCGTGGAGGTATGCAGTGATATTGCAGGTGACTAGCATCGTGCGTATAGCTTTTAGATGGTCACGAAATTGGACCTAAACTCCAGTTAGAACGCCTACATACGATACCAAAATTATATGCAATAGCAGACCAGTGGTAGGGGTACTTTTATAGATTATTACTAGGGGCAGTATTCATTCAAATTCAAATTCATAAATCATTTATTCATGTAGGACATTTTAGCCGCTTATGAACGTCAAGTTTTACATTATAATTTTTTTCCCTACCGTCCAGTTCGGTATATAGATCCAATTGAGAAGAACTGGCAAGAAACTCAATTGAATTACTTTTTTTTTTTTAAATCCAGTTTATTTACAATGCATTTATATAGGTGTCTATGTCTAACATTAAATGAAAATCCCGAACATGAAAACTATTGCCATGCACGCTCGTCATTCAAGTAATCGTTTAGTGAGTAATAGGCCTTGCTCAGTAAATATGATTTAACAGATGTTTTGAATTTATTTAAGGGTAATTCCAATATATCCTTTGGTATCTTATTGTAAATTTTTATACCTATTCCCATAAAAGACCTATTGACTTTTTCTAAACGATACTTGGGGACAGCAAGTTTGTCTTTAAATCTAGTATTAATATTATGAATATTGCTGTTTTTTGGAAATAAGTCAAGATTTTTATGAACATATAGGATATTTGAATATATAAATTGAGAAGCAACGGTGAGAATATTTGCCTCTTTGAATTTCTCTCTTAATGAGTCACGACTCTTCATACAGTAGATCGCTCGAAAGGCACGTTTTTGTAATATGAATATATTTTTAATATCTGTCGCTTTTCCCCATAATAATATTCCATAAGAAAGTAAACTATGAAAATAACTGAAATAGACCAATCTAGCAGTATCAGTATCAGTGTACTGTCTAACCTTACGCACGGCAAAAGCTGCTGAACTCAGTTTCGCTGCAAGACTTTGAATTTGTGCACCCCATTGTGTTTTATTATCTAATGTGATTCCTAGAAAGACAGTAGATTCTATAAATTCGAGAGATTCGTCATTTAATTTTATATTGCAATTAGTATTAAAACTTTTAGACAGAGAAAAATTAACACATTTTGTTTTTTTAGCGTTTAACATAAGATTGTTAGTTGTAAACCAGTGCAGGAGACGCCGCAAAGCACTATTTACATCGTCATAATTATTAGTCATTCTATTAACTTTAAATCAATGAAGTATCATCTGCAAATAACACTATCCCGCATCTATCCTGCATGGTATATGGGAGATCATTTATGTATACTAGGAATAAAAATAGACCGAGAATAGATCCTTGAGGTACACCCATTTGCACATGTGACCCGTCAGATGTAGTAATGACCCGTCATTTATTTATTTAACTAGCTACTCGCCCCGGGTGTACATGTATTATACATATAAATCTTCCTCTTGAATCACTCTATGTACTTAAAAAACCGCTTCAAAATCAGTTGCGTAGTTTTAAAGATTTAAGCATACATAGGGACGGACAGACAGCGACAGCGACTTTGTTTTATACTATGTAATATAAGACCAGTTTTTATGGATTATTGGTAGGGGCAGTATTCATTTATTTATTTAATTTCGGCTACTAATATATACATATAAATAAAATTCGAGTGTCTGTTTATAATAACCGTATATTGAAATAACAATTTCCTAGGGTAGAGTATAATAGAATTTAGAATGACTAAGGCGGGGCATGACACTAAATGGTTGAGAAACACTGGTCTAGACCCTTAGAAAGGACTTAGACTACTTTTTAACGCGAAAAAGGGGTTGTAAGGGATTGAAAGTGGAGATGAAATGTTTTATGGAAGTATCATCATTTTTAAAATTAGAAGGTTAATATTTATTTCTTAGACTGTTCATTAAATATAAATAAATATGACATTCAAAGGTGGTAAACATTTTACCTTTCACGTGGGTAAAATAAAATAGGGGATGAAAGTTTGTATGAAGTTGAAAGTGGAAATGAAATGTTTTATGGAAGTATCGTCATTTTTAAATCCAGAAGCATGAAACGTACTTTTTAGGCAATTGATTAAATATAAATAAATATGACATTAAGTGTTTGAAAAAATGTTACCCTTAAGGAGGTAAAATAAAATAGGGGATGAAAGTTTATATGGAAATTCGTCACTGAAGCTAGAACGATGAAACTTTTTGCTTTGGCTTTTTTGAGTTATTAAATACTTTTACTAATAATTTTTTTTTTTATACTACGATGGT